CAGTGACAATCTGACTGCTGACACTTTGTTCTAGCAACGCATCCTTTAGTACCTCTGGCAAACTCATTCCTCACATGTACTTTTAGGTGAAATACTGCATTTATTACCCTTCCCTCCTATGCTTTCACACCTTGATTGGATGGAAAGTGTTCAAAACAAACATTTCAAGCTGCTCTGTGTCTGGACACACAGGCTGYCTTCTGTCTCAGCCTCTCCTTGTCAGGACATGCAGAAACCATCACCCCTTAGTCACGTTTTCTCAAAAGTCACAACTCATTTTTCCAGTTACAGCAGATTTTCTTRGAGCATTTCATTCTTTCCCTTTTCTCCCCACGGTGACTCACCAGGACAGCACGAGACTGAGTCACATCCCTGAACAGCTGAGCCAGGCCAAGCTCTCCTTCCACTGTCTGCCACGAGCAACACGCTCACCCAGCAGGGAAAGGATGGGGGATAAATCCACACACTTGGATTTATGGCATAAAATCCACACACTTGGATTTGTAGCATAAAATTCACACACTTAAATTAGAGGCATAAAATCCACACACTCAAATTAGTGGCATAAAATCCACACACTTGGATTTGTAGCATAAAATCTACAGACTCAGATTTGTAGCATAAAATTCACACACTTGGATTAGTGGTATAAAATCCACACACTCAAATTAGTGGCATAAAATCCACACCCTTGGATTCTCAGCATAAAATCCCCCCATTTGGATTTGTAGCATAAAATCCACACACTCGGATTAGTGAAATAAAATCCACACACTCGGATTTGCGGCTATGGGGAAAAACTGGAGTTTAATTACCCAAACCTCCTGGTTCTTACCCAAAGCTGCAGGGCTCATGCTCAATCTGAGGAGTTTGGGAAGCCAAAGGGGTTAATTGGAGCCCTYCTAAGTGCTGGGACATGTGGAAGCACAGGGTGATGTTTCCAAGGAGCTGCTGACAGATGCTCTTCCAACTGCAGACCCCTCACAGATGCTAAAAACCCTTAACCCCATGCACTCAACCAGAAATCGAGGCTTGGCCTCGGGCCATGGGTGTGAAAAGTTGATGTTTCATGATGGGAAAGGACTCTGAGCTAAAAGAGACCCTAAATTATGAGGTGTCCTCCCTCTGCCCTGTGTTCAGCCATCCTTCCTCCGTGGCTGACAGGTGACAGACGAGGCAGAGCTCAGCCCTGTGAGCAGCCAAGGAATCCCATTCCATGGGATCCCAT